CAGACAGACAGACAGACAGACAGACAGGCAGGCAGACAGACAGACAGGCAGACAGACAGACAGGCAGGCAGACAGGTGCTTCTAAAAACAGGCAGCATGATGTTATTGGCAGATAAAATTAAATCTCTCTGCCCTGACTGAGGTCATAAAAAATAAAATGCACAGTTGATCGCAGGAGGAAACAATTAAACAGGAGAGTGGTGAATAAATGATGGAGTTTACAGCACAGCAAATAGAAATAGATAAAATCCGCCACTCCTCATGATGATTGCCCATCATTAGACTCCATCACTTGCAGCGCGCACCTCCTCCTCCTCCTCCTCCTCCTCCTCCACACGCACATGCACTCACCATGCTGTCGTAGTGGATGAGCTCCAGCTCGTAGTCGGGCAGGATGTCGCTCCGGTTGTTCACCAGGTCCAGGGCCATCTGAGCGGAGGGCATGCACGCCTGTCCGCCGGGCCAGCCGCCGCTCATGGGGAACAGGGCTCCGATGTACAGCTTCTTCTTGCCTGCGGAGGGCCGAGGCCAGAGGAGGAGAAGGACGATGAGAGATGCCCGGAGGAGCGTCGCATACCCGCGGGTTGCGCGAGTCACCGGCGCGGGACCGGTGCGCATCTCCCGCATGCTTCAAGGTGAGAGGGGCCGGGGTGAGCGAGCCCCCGGTGCTGCAGCAGAGGAACCGTGTCTCACGCACGAACTGTGCAACTTCCAAAACAAAAAGAAATCAGGGGAGCTCAACACGTGTGAGAACAAAAAACCACGCACGAGTTGTGGCTGTTACGCGCAGCTGCGAGCGGACACTGCGCACTGCAAGTGTTTACATTTAACTGCGCGTGTTTTAAGCATCGCGTGAATTATTCAGCCCGCGGATGATTTAGCATATTGCGCGGTTAATAATAAATGTCGGCGCTGGATATTTTCGGGACAAAGTCAAACACAGTTCAGGCTTCACTTCGCGTGAGGACGCGCTCGCATCATCGCAGCGTCAACTTTCCAACGAGCCTCGATCCCCGCATCTTCACGCATTTCATCGCATCCGGCGCGAGGAAACATGCGCATCACTTATTTCCTGCGCGCAAAAAACAAAAAAAAATTTAAAAAACAAGAAATTAAAAAAAAAATTAAAAAAAAAATCGTAAAGAATGGACGTCGCGCGCCGGAATCACCCGCTGCTTTTACGCACACACACACAAAGACGACGCGTACGGATCGAACGCAGAACGCGTCAAATGAGAGCCGATGGAAATAACACAACAACAACAAAAAAAAAAAACGGAAGAAGAAGCCGAACGACTGGAGCAGGAACCGAGAGCCGGAGACGAATTCGGGAAGAGCACCGACGTCTCCTCCGGTTTTTACGCAGCCATTATTCCAACAGATGAGACGATTCACCGCGGAAAAAACAGAGAGAGCAGGCGCGCCAGAGCTCTGCGACTGATCCACTGCAGCACCGACTGGCTCTGTGTGTGTGTGTGTGTGTGTGTGTGTGTGTGTGTGTGTGTGTGTGTGTGTGTGTGTGTGTGTGTGTGAGGGAGGCAGAGGGAGGCAGAGGGAGGGAGGGGGGGATGAGTGGTTGGGAGGGGGCTCTGGGCAAAATGTCCTCAAAGATTTAGTAATGAGTTACACGCTGCGCTCAACTTAAACAGTTTCATCCATTCGTCCACGCGCAGCCTCCTCCTGTCACACTCGCTATAGTTTTCCTCGGAACTCGTTCGTGCTGGTTCTTCTTCGTGTTCTCTGCGGAGCAGCTGCCGCCACACAGGCTGCAGGACCCGTTATCGATTTGTGATCAATGCATCGAGGCGCTGCAGGGGTTAAAGGCCAGATTTAAAAAAAAAAGAGGATCGTTTTAATATCCGGAGAGTTGGAGTCGTTCCCTCCGAGCATGGGTTTCTTTGTGTGAGTCACACAGGGCTCGTCACTGTGGTGAAGACAACAGCAACACATCGATAGTGAAGAATTCTCTGATATTGATTATTGTCGTGATCGATGCAGCACAGGATGGGATTCGTTTCTGATTCTGATTTGCTGAGAATCGCTTTATTTCAACCACTGAATATCATCGTGTCACAGAGTGTGACGACGAAAATCAAAGTAAAGAGTCCATATCAATAGTTCTCACGATTAATTGTTATTCATATTTGAGTTTGAATTCAGATTTCTGCTCCTTAAAGAGTAGGTTGTGGTTCTTTATGGACAGAGAATGACACACACTTGATAATAATAATGTATAATAGTGTTTCCACCATGTATAAGCATCACACTGAAATATATTGAACCTTTGTTATATTGGTATTCATTTAAATTGTTGTTCTATCGTATACGTTAAGTTGCTGAACATTCATATTCAATCATAGCTCTGCTCGTGTCTAATCATTCAAACTGGGCTGAATTCTATTTGAAATTTCTTTTGTCATTAATGTTTGAGTTAATAATATTCAATTTTAATATGTAGTTAGAAGTGGGGCTGAAACCGAGCTTAATTGTTTCCTGTTTTAAATGTCAGGAAATAATAATGAAGCGTCGTCATTTCCTGAAGCCGAGGGGACATTTTTAAATGACTTGTTTTGTTGAATCGAAGGTTCAAAATTCAGCTTGCATTTGAAAACAGAGGAAAACAGCAGCTGGGAATCTCAAAGTACCACGTTCGAGGTTTCTGTGCTTGAAAAATACCTGCGACCATTAATCACAGAATAGTTTCCATTAGCGAGATGAGATCAGATTAAATTAATTGCAGTGCGGTCATTGCACACAGCGAGTGTAAGTTTAGCTTCTAACCAGATCAGGGAAACAAAGAGCATATATAATAAATATGAAGAGGAATCCATGAATAGAACCAGCGGGGGGTGCAGTAAGAAGAAATGCTGCGCGATTCAGTTTCATATTTTATTAATTTAACCTTTACCGTCAACTGGTGTACGTCCATACACTGTATATAAAGATATATGCCTCCTCCATGTTAGTGGATGGGACCAAACTAAAAAGTCAACATACATTTTTCTGTCATTTTAGATATAGTCTCTTTTACTCCGTTTATTCAAGTGATCATTTTTTATATGTTTGGTATTTATTAGTTGTTTAATGCTAACGGCTTCATGACGTCATAGGCACGAGATGTGCGTCCTCCATTTTCATTTTACTGTCTATGCTCAAACCAAAGTACTGGACAGTTGTGACCTGATGGTGGCACCAGATTTAAAGTTAAATCAAATCCATCCTGAAGGTGGAGCTGAAGGGGAAGTCAGGGGATTCTCAGGTTAACAAGATTCATCCTCTGAGAACGACACAAATGTTTGTGGTGATTTAACCCAAAGTTGTTCAGATATTTCCCTGGAGCTGAGGCTAAAACCAGATTCTGCTCTTGGGACCTGCAGCATCATCCATTATCTGTCCTGCTTTATCCTCTGAGGGGGCTGGAGACAATCCCCGGCTGATACTGGGTGAGAGGCAGGGGGGGACACCAGTCCACCAGTCCATCATAGGGCTGACATACAGAGACAAACAACCGTCCACATTCACACCTACAGGCGATCTAGTCTCCAATTAACCTCAGATGTGTCTTCGGACTGTGGGCGGGAGAAAACCCACGCAGACACGGGGAGAACATGCAAACTCACACAGTTCAGGTTAGAGGCCAGAACCTCGTTACTGTGAGGCGACAGTGACAAACACTGAACGACAGAACTAGATTTAAAATGATCACATGTAACAATTCTTCTTTAAAAACATGTTCAAACCCACAGAAATCCCAAGTTTCATTCTATTCAACAGGACGTGTCATTCTGGTCCCTTTTATTTTTGGTTATTTGCTCTTTAATGGATGAATCACGATTATTTATTGCTGCATTACGTGAATGAAACTATAACAACAACAACTCCCATGATGCCACGCTGCTTAACCACACCATCAAATTAGGTCTTTTGTTTTAGTTTTGATTGAGAGACCCCTAGTGGCCGAAGTTACAAATGGTTAAGTGCCATTGAAATGCAACATAAACACCTCGATGCTGTCCGACCTGTTTAAACGCTTGTGCTCAGCAATGTGCAACTCAGCCCTGAGACCGTCTCAGTTAATTCACAGACTGTTTTCATCTGCACCGCCCCTCCGCAGCCAAGTCTATAAAAGACGCCGCTTTGAGAAATCAGCAAAAAATGTGGCAGCTGGTATCAATCACGGCTGATTTTATTTGCCTCCGTCTCTATCGGAGAAAAGCGAAGACAGTGATGTAGTGAATAAGACAAACACGGACTCTGCACACCTGCTGTCTGAGCTCCGTGTTCAGCCCACAGCCTCGTCTGTGACACACCATCCTGCTCACACGCTAACACACGTGTGCATCCATCAACACCCACTCCCGTATAAGGTGTGACATAATGGCCGTTAAAGGTTAAAGGACACATGATGCTTTTACACCTTTTCTTTCCTCTCGTGTGTAAAAAAGGTTTTTTTGTGAATGTAAAAAATCTGCAAAGTGAAGAAAGAGCTTGGAAGAAGCCGACACAGAAAATGGCGGTAATGCACCAACCGCCGATAAACCGAACAGAGAAGAAGAAGAGCTGACGCTCCTACTTCCTGGACATCCTGACGTCACATGACATCACGCTGCCCTGCAATTACATAATATACGTTTAGCTTGTAGCTTTCTAAGAAAGTAAAGCGAGAGCGGAGGTCGACTTTTCCTACGCAGCAGTTGACCAATCCCGACAGAGTGGGTCAGCTGACCAATCAGTGCAGACTGGGCTTTATCAGGAGGGGGGGGGGGGCAGGAGTCAGACAGGAGCTGAGACTAAGCGAGCGGAGCTGCAGCAGTGGACAGTTTTCTAGACTGTTTCTAAAAATGGATGATGGGTCTGAAATCTGTATTCCCTCAAACGACCAGCAGAGGGCGACTCCACGGGTTGCACAAATAAAATCGGTCTCTGTAAAAGTCTGAGAAAATGACTTCTGACTTGATTCATCACGTCAGTAAAACATTTTCTTAAGGAGTTAATGATTTCAATCTCGAGGGTCAAGTCTTCTTCAATACAGCACGATGTTCATTTTCTAAATCATCGTCCAATTTAGAGTCTAACGGACGATACAGCACAGAATGCGCCCGGGCGAGTGACTGACAGCTAGTACCGTCCAATGGGTCGCAGGTGTAGTTGGTGGGGCAATGTCCTCAAGCTCTCTGTCAGGCTCCGCCCCTCGCTCCTCCATATATGGTCACGTTAAAAATGACAGTTCACCAGTGGTCTGAGGAACGTGATGTGTTCACTGAACATTAGAGCACGTAAAACTTTTCACATGAAGCTGAACACGTCTCCTTTAAACGACCTGATCGCACCGCGGTTGAGGTCACGTGTGTCTGCGTCATTCGATGTCACAGAAATGAGAAACTGAAGATTCACACCTCACCGAGGTTTCGCCCTCTTCATCGCAGCCCGTTGTGATAATCTGACGACGCTCTGGAACCGTTTCCAAACTCGTGTTTTTACACATCACGTGCTTTGATGGCAAGCTTTAAAAGTTCCTTTTCGAAAAGGACTCACTGCACAAGTCGAGAAGAAGACAATTATTTCTCCAGTCTAAATTAAAATCTCTCAGCAGTTAGGCGATGCGATATGACTGTTATACACTATAACCCTGGTTCATTAACCCAAATCTCATTATCTGGATATCTCCATGTAGCACGGAGCTATTCAACTCCTGCTAACAAGCCCTCGCAGGCTGAGGTGAGAGAAGTGATCATCCGCTTATATTATCCTTCCACTTCCACCTCCTCATCCTCGCTGCCACCTCATGACCCCGTCCAACACTCCATCAATTATTCAGCCGTGAACTTTATATGCAGCTTCGCTCCATAAGCATCGGGCAGCGCAGTGTTAACAACCCCTACGGTGGCAAATGCCACATTCAGAGGAGACACTAGCTGCTGCACAGGCTGAAAGAGCTGCAACGGAGACACGAGTGTTGTCACATGTTGCTGAGCTGCTTTAATGAGGAACTTGTACTTTATATTTGTGTGAACTTGTACTTTATATCTGCGGTTTGCACACTGGGCATCCTTCACGGTAATGGCCTGCTCTCCTCCTGGCGGGAGATAGTGAAGAAAATACTCTTCTGAATGTTCCCTTTTTAACCCAAATGCCAGATTACATTGTGCTCCACCTGCAGAGCGCATTTCATTCAGGGAGCGAATACGAATCTGTATAAAAAAACGCTCCGGCGAAATATATTGTGCAAAATCAATCAGACTGTAGCAATTCCCAAGATGGCCGATGTTTTGTTGTCGTAAGGTTTTTGTCACAGTGTTGACGCCACGAGTCGTACGCAGCTTCCTTTGTGCAGGAATCAGACTCTGGCATCTGGCAACATCCATTTGTTCTGAATGTTTTCTCGTTGCATCAGATTTTCTCGGTGGAAACTCAACAACATTAATTTATTAAAGAGGTCGGTCTTTTTGGGCTGGAAAGAAAATGTATCACTTATATAAATAATAATGATTTAACAATGAAGCTCTGAAAAGTCAGTTACAACAAAATCCCAGAGACGGCCGTAAATGTTTCTAATTTTCAACAAACCCCACAACTCCGATGTTTCCCTAGACAGCTACAGCGTATTCCTCCGAGCCCCAGTCGACCACTGTCGTGACCAGACGATTAAAAACACATGAGTGAGCCTCTGTGGTCCTTGATTACAGGGAACATGGGCAGTGTGGTTTATTTGGAGTGGATCCGCCCACATCCAAGACTCGCAACAATTAAGAGAAGAGTCCCTGAGCTGAGACTCTCCCCGAGGAGCATTTGTCCGCCTGTTAAAAACCTTTTTAAAAGCTTTTCCTCACAATAATCGAGGAATGAAGGCCGAGGAGGTCGCACCTTGTCCAGATCCTTAAACCCCACGAGCCGAATTGTGATTTCTGAATATGAGCAATGCAACAAAAATGTGCTTTTGTGTCCGTTAGAAATGAAACTGGCTGCAGTTGTTTGCAGGGAAGGTTCAACTTGTCATTTCCTGGTTGTTGTGGCTGATTTGTTCGTATTTATCGTGTATCTGCGGCTTCGTTACTGTACTTGGAGAAAACGGATGAACTAAAGAGATGCTGTCCTACTACGCACACACACACAGGGTAGAGCAGACACACACAGGAATAGGGTATTAACCTTTGTCCTGCTGAGGAGGCAGTAAGTAGGTGGTGATGGCACATGGAGTGGAGAGAGACGGAGAGAGCAGAACCAGAAGGAGGTCAGTGTTGAGACATGGCATGAAATTTCTATTTGTGGAAACAGTGTTCGTCTGCTGCTTTGTTAATTTTCTGTTTGTCAACTCTGTCCGTGACATTTGGAAACTTATAGAGGGATTATAAAAGTATATATATTCAGAGTCCCGTCCGTTAACATGGAGGAGGGCAGGGTTTACGACAGGACGATGCTTTGGCTTCGCTCGTCAGGAGCCGTCACGTCGTCCATGTTTATGTCTACGGTCTGTAATGCGTTTCTAATTCATTGCAGTAACTGTGTGTGGTGAGTCTTTCCAAGGATGTAGCTGCAGAGTATGATTCAATATCTGGACAATTGCTAATGTGGTGACATAACCGAGCGAGAGGCCGACCCACAATGCAACACTAACAAACGTGTCCATCATCCCCACCAGGCTCAGATTAAATGGCTGCACGACTAAATGTTTTGATTGTTTTTTTAAAGTGACTCTCTGCGACTGTTGCACTTTTACCCTCAACACCAAACTACACTGAACATGAACGGCTTTGAAACTGATTTTAAAGTGACTGTTGCACTTCACCGCACAAAACATCATTTTCATTTTTAATTCTAATGTTGAGACGGAGGAGATTTTCCAACCCGAGTGAATAATAAAGTTGTTTTTATTCAGTGCTGCTCTAGTAGCTGATTATTTTTACCTGCTTGGTTCCACATCTGTTCTTATGCTCCACTTAGTTTTACATGGCAGGAGCATAGCAACAGTGATTAGCGTTGAGCTAACGTTAAAAGTTTGGAATTCAAAGAAAACACACGAGCGTGTTAGTTTGGACGAGGATCTGTAATTAAACTGGCGGCAGATTAAATTGGCTTCTCTTCTTGCTTTGATTCATATAATTTTTTTTGCTCAACATAAATAACGGTCCTCACGTAACATCTGGTGGGACTGTGGGCTGAACGCTCTCAGCCTGCGAATGATTGGATGGAAAAGATATGAAAACTAATTTCCTTTAACGTCTCCTGCTTCAGACACATTTTAACTTGGCCTATATTCTTGTTTCTCACAGCACAGGAACATTTCCCATCTGGTCCCATCTCTCCAGCTGTGTTTTTTTTGGGGGGGGGGGGGGATGTAATTCTTGGTTTACAGAACAACCACTTGTCACTTGCTGCAGGCTACAGCTGCAGCAGATGGAGACAGACACGCCCCAGTTTGGCCCAATTCTCAAAGACCACTGCTGCCCCCCTGTGGTCACAATGCTGTGCTACGTGAGCGTTGTTAGGGACGTCACCATGAGGACCAGAGAGATAAACTGCACTCAGTAAAAAAAGAATTATAAAACATTAAATTATATTTAAACATCTGCACTTTATTCCTGGCGTGAATGTTAAAATATTTCTGACTTCTTTTGAAAGGAAAGTCATTTCTGTGAGTCTGAAAACAAAGTTCGTGTTTAAAAATGTTAGAAGTAACTAGAATTACCGTCCTGTTGTTCTCTGCCTCCTCCAAACACTTTCAGTCTACTTAAAAAAAAAATGTCCAAACTTCCACTGAAATCTGGTCCGTCCAGGGGACAACTGGACAAACATGTGAGGACATTCTCCAAAGACAGACTCAGGGTGTCACGTTCAAGAGGCAGGAAACACATTGACCCTCAAAGTGTCAAGATAATCACAAGACGGACACAGAGAACATAACGTCTCAAACCTCGGGCTGTCGACAGCACAGAGGAATTAAAAGTTCATGTCACGGGAGCTCTGGTGCGTCCATGACACAATAAATAACACAGCTGAGTAACAACTGGAGGAGGATTTGAGTAAAGTGAAAATCTCATAGAACCGGAGCACGATGACAATAAGAAGGAAAAGATCTTACCTGTGTAATTTCTGTCATCTTTGGCAGGAAAACAGAAAAAGAAAGAACAGATGATTAAAACATAATTCAGGTGATGGAACAATCAAATATTAATCTAATTCAAATTCAGAGCTGGAAAACAGCTTCCAATTCAAATCTTAGTTAGTGTCAGGAACAGTTTTGTAAATCCAGTGGTTAGAAACCGAAACAGAACAAAACAATAAGTGATGATGCAGCTGAACACACGAACGTTGTCCTTTCTAGACCAGAAACGTCTACAACCGAGGACAGAGATTATAAATTAGCCTCGACTAGAAACCAGACAAAAGTTCCTGCAGCCGGCGAGAATGTTTCTCTGCATTGTCCCTGTCTAATAAAAAAATTAATTAATAAATAAAATGATGTCAAAGATTTGGTGCAGTGAGGCTCAAGTGCTTTCCTCCACTAGGTGGCAGTGACACATCGCTGTAGTGCACCATCATGCAGTGATGATGCCTCCCTCCCTCCCTCCCTCCCTCCCTCCCCCCCCCCTTCTTTGCTGGGGCTCTCAGTGTGTTGCTATGGAGACAGCCACATAGGTGTGTTGTTCCTGTCTGTCTTTCAGGTGCAAACGCTGT